TATCTCTCCCGCATCTAAACACGTGGTGACTCCCAAAGGCTGCACTGTGAGTTCAGTGACACTGGCTTGAATCTCACCATCCAAACCCCAAATCAGTGGCTGAAGACAGGTGATAAATAATTGGTCACTTAACAATAAAAATTACAGTCATTTTTTTTAAAAAATTATACTCCAATCTAATCCCCTTACCACAGAAATAAGTATCTTGATTATTCTACAGTGAAAAACAAATCAGAATTTTCCAAGACTATTTCCCTTGTGAAGACAAACTAATATCTAACTCTCTATAATTCTACACACCAAAGGGTAGGTCCCCCAGCAAAGGTGATGCTGAAAGATCAAAGTGCTCTGAAAGTGAGTGTTGTTAACCAGAGCTCAGTGTCAAAGGCTGCTGTAGAGTGGGTGGCAGTAGAATCTTAAAACTATCAGAATGTTGTTTCTTTAGAAATAGTGAAAAACTGAATGGAAATGATGACAATGGCAGATGCTTATTATAATATTTCAATAAAAATCACACATTGATATTTATATACTCCAAGCAGTACAAGACCCTAGCATCTTGGCTCTACCACTTACTATTTGCCTTTAAGCAAGTTACTTAAACCTCTCTAGGCCTTTGTTTCCTCATTTGGAAAATGGCATAATTAATATTAATAATACGTACTGCATAGGCATTTGTTACATGGATTAAACGATATTATCCATATAAAAATGCTTAGACAGAGTCTTGCACTTAGTAAACAATCCATGTCAAGAGTTGTTTTATTATCATCATTATTATAGAGTTTTCATTCTCAGCAATTTCCAAACTCCACAACTTCAAATGTAAGGTGCTATTGTCATAAATAATAATTTTCTTTCCTATAATATGATTAGGTTATATTTTCCCATTTATATTATAAATAAGCTCTGAAGTTAAATAAGCTTCAAAACAAATCACTGTTCACTACTTCCTTTGACCCTTACCACAACACAGACAGATGGGGAGAGATTATCCTCATCTTACAGATAAACTTCCGGTTTTAGCTGAGGTTTAGGGAGGTGAGTGACCTGCCCAAAGTCACTGAGCTAGTAACTAGCAATGGCTGGATTCAAGGGCGCCCTGGCTAACTTCTCATGCAGATCTCTTCCTGTCATTACAGACTTTGCCAAATACCAACTTCATGATATTTAATTAGTTTCAAGAGATAAACGTGACCCCATGTGGTTGGCAGAAAGAGCATGAACAGGAAGAGTGTACTGTGACCGCGACCCCCGTTGGGCAGAAACACACTACACGCAGGAGGAGCGAAGTGGGGTCCACGGTGGTGTTTCAATGACACCCTCATCAAACACTGGTGCCGCCACCTCCCACCAGGGCACAGGCACCCCACGAGACCACAGTGCGAGCCAAGTGTGCTGAAGTGACTGAAGCAGATTTCCCACCCCAATACCAGAAAGCACTCCTCCCTCCCTCACACACACGCACAAACACACACACACACACACACACACACACACACACACACACGCACACACACACACACACACAGCCTGCTTGCCTAGAGCTCTCTGTTTCTGACCTAGGGATAAACTGCCCTTTTTTTTTTCTTTGCCAGAGTGAGCCTTACCCTCCCCTGCTGCTTTGCCTTTGCTCGAGCTGTTCCTCCACAGGGAATAAACACTTTTCCTCCAAGCTCCAAATGGCAAATTCTACTTTCCCTTAAAAGCCTGGGTAAAAGCCATTTCCTCCATGAAATGCAACTCAAACACATTATCCCACCAGCCAAAATAATCTGTGCAACCCAAATCTTCTATTAATTTATTCAGACAGCCTTTTCTATCGTATTTCATAAGCTTTCTCCTCTCAGATGGACAAGCAAGTTAAGGCTCTGGTCTGAGTCTTTGGATCTCCTGAGCCGCGCGCAGGCACAGTGCCTGGCATACAGCTGCTGTGCAACGGTGACATCAATGAGCAAGTGATCGAAGCCTGGTCCTTCGATACGCGTCCGGCGCTTCACCTTTACAGCATAACACAACACGAGCCAATTGCTGTGGAGGGTCAACGTATTTATCCAAATCGTTTTTTAAAATGAAAAGAGAACTTGAACTCAAAAACTTTGTCAGATGAGAAATTAAAACTATTTTTAAATCTCTTTCAGATAAATTTCTCAATTCTCCATTTCATTCTACATGCATAAAAAAGGATTCAGAGGACAAAAGACTTAAATAAGTCCTTTAAAAAAAAATCTATGCTCAGAGAGTAAGAAGGATTCAATTGATAAAAATTCAAAAAAACCAAGAAGTTTTACAAAGAATTATCATCCCTGTTTAATCGTACTATAATACAACAGGCCACCCTCTACTCTTAGTCGATCTGACTATCTCTTGACTATTATTATTTGTGGTCTATCTGCAAAGAAAAGAAAAGGTATGTGAGCTGGAAATAGAAAGCCTTTTATCAGAACACAGTAGACTATCCAACATTGTATAAATCGCACTGGCAATGATCCAAAAAAAAAACATAAAAAACTGCTAATGACAAAACCGGAATGGAATTGGCACTCTGCAATACGCTTCTTTAATTCTGACATTGGAGCATGGGACGAACAGACTCTGAGTTAGCCTTTTTCAATCCTGCACTCCCCTCTCCCCTGGCCGTTTGGTGTCTGCTGCCTCGACCACACCAGTCTGGAACTCTGCAGCCAAGCACCCCTAGATCCACCTGAGCTCTTTACGCCATTTTTCTACAAGGAGTTGCCTGTCTATCCTCTGCCTCTATCGGTAATTGAGAGGTGGCTTTGGTCAATATGCATTCAGGGCACATCAAGTCCTACCCAGCCCAGCACTGTGCCACGGCCCGAGTAACTCTGGGGGTCGAAGTGGCACATGCAGAAGGAAATGGGATGATCTAGACAGCTCTGCTCCCTAGTCTGGCTGGAAAAGGGGCACATAGGATGGCTTCCCCATGTATGTCCTGAGGAACACTGCTAATGGGGATGATGCCACTAAAAAAATTGAGTTGTATGGTCCAATAAATTTGGAAAAGACTCTGAATCTTCTTCTGAGAGTTTCATAAAGCATACTGGCATATGAAGGGTGATGAAAAGTCCTCCAGTAAAAAATTCTATAATACTTGTTTAATTCAGCAAGTCCCACATTTATTTTACTATGAAACTTCTATCCAGTGACACCCTTTAATGTTGAAACTTAGTTTGGGAAATGCTTGAGACCACTCTATGATTAACAGCTATGTGGCTTTGAATCTAGCCACACGACAACTCTTGATTTCCCTGTCTAAGAATCATTGCTCAACAAAGGGCTAGTGGAAGAGTTAAACTAGAAATGGAGGGTTTAGATTTTCCAACAACCAAACCATAAAATAATCTGGAAATTTTACCTTAATATAGGAAAACATATATTTTTGAAGCCAAGATAGAGAAAAACATATTTTTAGGTCACAATTTCAATGGTCCGCAGCGGTATATTCTTTATAAAAATATTTATAATCCTGGACCCACAACCCAATTTTATACGTTTTTACATGTGCAAGATGAAGCGGGGAACAAAGTGATTACCCAAATATTTCAAATCTACTTCTCTTTCTACGGTGATATAATCTTGCCTGTTCATTTTCAGATAATTGAAGTTTACTGGGTTTGAATGTGGAATTGGAGAAAGTGGGAGCCTAAATCACCTGAAAAGTTACCATAATCCTACACGGTTTAAATACATTAAAATTTAATAAACTGAGCCTTTAGGAAGATATGGTCATTTAGCCATCTTTGATATCACTAAGAAAATACCTAGGACATTATATGATATACTGAAAATTCCCCCAATATCTGAGAATTAATGTTTCCACATTTCTAGGTATCCAGTTTACTATGAAAGAGGACTGGAGTACTAAGTACTACAGGTATGTGTATCAAATCTCATAAACATCGGTTTGCCCAGACATAAAACATCTAAAATAAAATTCATAAATTTCCTTTTTAACTTCACTCATCTCCAGTAATTCAATTAAAATCTGTTCACATTTATGAAGGGGAAATCCTGATACCATGGAACTGATCTATGATTCAGATTATCAATTTTTTTTGACTCAACACTTTAAGACCCATACCCATGCCAACCCATAATAACATCTATTCAGATTTAAGTTTGGATGTCATCGCTTATTTCATTTTTTTGATTGAGAATGATACAACATAAATATGCAAAATTCTTTCTTTCCAAAACACAGTAAATATGGCACATGGTAATACAATCTAAACCAAGGAGAACACATTCCAGGATTTCCTCTTCCTAAAACCTGGGGGGAATGGTAGCTGTTAATGAACTTGTTTAACACTCTGATGTTAGATTGAACTTTCTCTTCACCCATTCTATTTCATGGTCAAAATGGTCATGTTTTCAAGAAGCCCTGACGGCAGTGCCTTACCAGTGTAGATGCTGGCATTGGAAGCTGGGATACCAAACTGTGACTCGATGAACTTGGGAATGAAGGTAATGAAAGCAGTTACAATGGCACTCTCAGCTGTGTATGACAAACTCACAAAAAGGAATGTCATGTTGCTTAAGATCCTGACAGCTGCTCTTGGTAGGTCTACAAAATGACAAAAATGACAAATGAATGTTATAAACAATGGATGGAAAACAAAATAAAACTGAATTGTTTTTGAAATGAACTGGAAATAGCCATTCAGCAATATTTGCCACAAGAAAATAAAAACAGAAAGATCCGATGACGATTAGGAACCATCCCGTTTATTGAATAGATTTTGTTTTGGTTTGATTTTTTTAATTTCAACCAGGATAAGAAAATTAAGTAAAGTATCTAAAAACATACCTGTGCACAGATATCCTTACAAGCAGTACCCTACTGATGACTCCTATTTCAAAAACTGTTTAAATTCTTTGCATTTTTTCATTGACTAAAACAATGTTATTCTCTGTTAAGACCTCAAAGTATACTAAATGTGTAAAGTACCTGCAATACAGTCCTAAATTACAATTTTTACTTCACTCAGCTACCATTTCCCTGAGAAAAAGCATTCTGAGTTGACAGCTTCGTAGGCCTGCGTTACAGATGCCCACAGCAGAGGAATAGGTACATGATGTCGCACATCTGACCTTCCAGGCTCATTACAAAACAGGAAATAATCACAGCTAACAATGCTGAAAGGCCATCAGGTCAGGCACTCCAACACACTTCGAATGAGGCACAAAGAGTCGTGATCTCCAAAGGGAAAGGAGATCCCAGAGGCGGGGGCTTAGCATCTGCTGGGCTACCCCTCAAGGAAGGAAGAAAGAAAAGTCTCATCTTTGAACCTAGTCATTTATTTCACAGAACTTGCCATATATATGCTTCAAGATATATGTGCAAGTATTTTCATTGCAGCATTGTTTATCATAGCAAACATTTACAGAGAAAATTTAAATGTGCATCAATGGGAAACATTTAAATAAATAAATGTTTAAATAAATTATGGCACAGCCATAAAATGGAACATTATGCAGTAGTTAGAAATGAAATAGAGCTGTATGTACTGGCATAAAAGAACTCCAAGACATATTAAAGCAAGCTGCAAAAATACACATGCATGGGTGAGTAATCATATTTAAGTAAAAATAAAACAAACAATGTATTTATATATGGTCAAATGCATACTTCTCAATATATAACAGAAAACTATTAAGAATTTAAGTTTGTGAATGGGACTAAGATTGAGAAAAAGAGGAAAAAAGGAGATTCTTGTATATATACTTTTGTATTTTTTGCTTGTTTATAATGTGAATTAATATACATTCATATAATCTTTACGTATCTTCATGGAAAAGGTAAGCTGCACTATTTTTTTTGCTGCACTATTTTTGACAATATAGTCATCTCAGAAAACAGTTATCTCCTTATGCTCCAACACAATAAAGACATTTCATTAAAATTAACCAAAAACTTTTATTAAAGCTATAATTCGTAGCCTCCTATTCACCAGAATTTAAAACTTAGAATGTCAAGACTATTCACTATCGTCATTTCAAAATTTAAACCAAATTTAATTTTCAGTATCTTAATTTAACTTTTTAAGTTTAAATTAACATTTAAAAGAAAAATTAAGATGCATGATTTATTTTTTAACATGGATAAACACACCAGAGGAAAACATAATCAAAGTACTTCATAAAATTATCCTATATTCTCTTGTAAACACTGTAAATTAAAATGCCATACTTAAAATTTTTAAATTAGAAAGTTAAGATTATTTATCGACATTTAAGGATTCAAATTAAGCTTAACAGTATATTAAAAGCCAAATGCGTTGACTCTAAAACATCTGGAGAAAATATAAAATAAAATTTTAATATAATAAGATGACATATGTATCACATGAATATTTTAAGAGATACTAGTTAGATCAAACTAGTTTTTCCTCTGTACCCATTTGGTAGGATAAAATAGTCTTCTAATTCTAAGGTTAACTAAAAATATACATCATGGTTCTCTCTCTTATTAAAAAAAAAGTCTGCTGTTATTTAAGAAGAATTAGCAAAAGTTCAGACTTTCAACAACTCTGTTAGCTTTCTTCTTTCTTCCACCTTTATCCTTTCGCTTTATTGGGGCTGAGCTTTCGCTCTATGTGTCCTACAGGAATGGGGCGTAGAGGGCAGAGTATCCAGGGTTCTACGTTTGGTTAGTGGGGCTGGGTGCTTTTTTTACATGAAGGGGGACTTAGCAAAAAAATAAATACATTGAGAATAGTGAGAATCAGTTTTCTAACTGTCAAAGAAGAGACTTACAAATATGGAAAGGGGAACAGTTAGATATCAGATTGGTACTGGAGATATTTGTATAAATTCATGGTTTAGATAGATAGATTAGATGATGATAGACTTGAGTGTGCATGCATACACATGTGTATACACATATGTTCTAACTCTGTCTGCTAGCGGAGCTTAGAAATAATGACAGCCCAGTAGGAATAAGCCCACTTAGCACTCAATTCTTAGTTTCTAAAAGCCATTTTCCACTAAAAGGAACCAGAGCTCCTTGGGAAAATGTCTACCTTCAGAGCTGATGCAGAGAAAATACAAGATAAGCCTGGAAAATCTTGTTGAGCAAGAAAGCAAAGAAGTGCTCTTAGAATGATGAGGACATGTCAGAAGGACACAGAAGACAGCTTGAAGGATTCCCAATGGTCAATCTGGGAAAATTTGAGCTCGATGGATGCTAGAAACAGTAAGTAAAAATCTTAACAGGAATAAGATATGGTCCATCCTCATTATTCATGGATCCCCTATTTCCAAAGTTGTCTGTTCACTAAAATGTATTTGTAACCCCAAAATTAATACTCACAGAGCCTTCGCAATCATGCACAGACCAGCAAAAAATTTGAGCTGTTGGATACCCACATTCCCATCTCAGGTGAAACAAGGTGACACTCTGCCTTCTTATTTCTGCTCTCATATTATAAACGAGTGTCCTTGTCATAATACGTTGTCACATTTTTCAAAATTGTGTGCTTTTTGTTGGTGATCTCTTTGTTTAAAATGGCCCCGGGTGTAGTGCTGCGGTGCTGTCTAGCGTTCCTAAGTGCAAGAGGCTGTAATGTGCCTTATGGAGAAAACTACGTGTGCTAGGTAAGTTTCCTTCAGGCACGAGTTACAGCGCTCTTGGCCATGAGTTCGATATTAATGAATTAAAAATATATATTAAATAAAGGATCTTTAAACAAAAAGGCAATAAAAAAGGGTTATATATTGATTGGTTGACGACTATGATGTGACAGGAATGCAACCTTGTATCTCCCCTAGGAGCAATGATCAGTATCAGCTAATTCAGTGTTCACGGGGACTGTGTAGAACATAACTGCCACGAACAATGGGAATTGACTATGTTTACACAACCCCCAAATATTTCCTGACAAAGTACTTATAGATTACTTATTGATTTATAATTATATTATACTTATTAACTTTAGAGTGGAGAACCATGGAAATACAACCTTTTTTTTTTTTTGAGACAGAGTCTCACTCTGTTGCCCGGGCTAGAGTGCCGTGGCATCAGCCTAGCTCACAGCAACCTCAAACTCCTGGGCTCAAGCAATCCTCCTGCCTCAGCCTCCCGAGTAGCTGGGACTACAGGCATGTGCCACCATGCCTGGCTAATTTTTTTCTATCTATTTTTAATGTCCAGCTAAATTTCTTTCTATTTTTAGTAGAGACGGGGTCTCGAACTCCTGAGCTCAAACGATCCTCCCGCCTCAGCCTCCCAGAGTGCTGGGATTACAGGCGTGAGCCACCATGCCTGGCCAACAATCTTATCCCACTGATAAATGTTGCCCAAGGGGTCAGGAGGAGATAGGCGAAAACCTACCTATCGGGTACAATGAACACTATCTGGGTGATGGGCACACTTACAGCCCGACTCAAGCATTACAAAAGTGATCTATGTAACCAAAAACATTTATACCCCCGTAATATTTTGACATTAAAAAAAAAAATACAGGCTGGGTGCGGTGGCTCACGCCTGTAATCCTAGCACTCTGGGAGGCCGAGGCGGGCGGATTGTTTGAGCTCAGGATTTCGAGACCAGCCTGAGCAAGAGCGAGACCCCGTCTCTACTAAAAATAGAAAGAAATTGGTTGGACAACTAAAAATATATAGAAAAAATTAGCTGGGCATGGTGGCACATGCCTGTAGTCCCAGCTACTTGGGAGGCTGAGGCAGGAGGATTGTTTGAACCCAGGACTTTGAGGTTGCTGTGAGCTAGGCTGACGCCACGGCACTCTAGCCTGGGCAAAAAGAGTGAGACTCTATCTCAAAAAAAAAAAAATACAAAAAAAAAAATTAGCCTAACTGGTAATAAGGAAATTAACACTCCACACCTCTGTTGCCAGGCACTGAGCATAGCATCATTTCGGTGGTATACCTGTGAAGTGCACACATCAGGGGACATAATCAAACCCCAACTGAGGGACATTCTACAAAGTTAATGGCTTGTACTTTTTAAAAAGATCAAGCTCAGGAAAGACAAGGAAAGATGAGGAACTGATTCAGAGTGAAGTAAACTAAAAGACACAAAAACTAAATACATGTGATCCTGGATTGGATCTTGGACAGAATGGACATTATTGGGATAATTGGCAAAATCTGAATGGGGCCTACAGTTTAGATGGTGGCATCAGATCGATGTTAATTTCTCGATTTTGACAGCTGCCCTGTGGTCATGTAAGACAGTGTCCTTATACTTAGGGAAACATGCATTGAAGTATTAGGGGACAGTAGACTATCAGATCCTTAACTTTCCTACTAGTACTAGGGACTAGTAGGGAACAGGGGTGCAGGATACACTAGAGCTCTGTGTGCTATCTCTACAGCTTCTAGGTAAACTCAAAATTATTTCAAAAGCACAAAGTTTAAAAAATTGTTCGCAAAGAAGGTGTTAAACCCATAAGTTTACAACGAAACACCTAATTTTTACGCTGCAGAATATATTTTAGATCAGTTTCTTGGTGTCATTTAGAACTGCCATTATAAAATCAAAGATGCAGTAAAAAGCATAATGAAGGAGAGGTGATGAAATAACGATAGTGATTATCAGTTTTT